AGTTTGTTTCTTTGTGTTCTGAATCTTAGCTTCAGGGGATGAAAGTTTACACTTTGAGAGTGAAGTCTCCTTATTCATTTCTCCCTTTTTCTGCTACAATCTCTCTTCCAGGTGAGTCAGCAGGCAGACTCTCATTTGGGAATGAGGAAAACAAATCTAGGGAAAGAAAAATGGCCTTGGAAGAAACTGCCTTCCAACAAAGATTGTGACTCCAATGTGATTTTCACTCTTTATTGTTTAAAACATCCACAAGAACATTTCCAGCAATTAACTGTATCTAAAAAGAAAAGGACACAGTGTTTGCTCTCAAAAGAGAAGAAATTCTTCCTTACTCACACCCCCCACACCCCCTCTGTTTCTAGGGCAACTATATCTGCAGAAACATGTCCTCCTGTGGTGTTTTGGTGTTTTCGGTGGTTCATTTCTTCTTCACAAAACGGACCCTCCTTTGCCCCTTGGAGGGCGGTCATCTGACTATTTGGCCCAGAAAGTCCCCTTTTTCCTTTTTTTTCTTTCTTTTCTCTTTTCTTCTTTCTTTCTTTGTTTCTCTCTCTCTCTTTTTTTGTCTAAACAAATCTTTCTGGACTTACCCTTTACTTTCATGTGAGAGAAGGAGTCTCAGAAGATGTGCTTAGAAAAGAGAAAGCTGGGAAGGGAGGAGAAGTGGAAGGGAGGGCACCACTGAACGGAGGGAGCCTGCCTCTTGGGTAAGAAACCCCAGGCTAGCCACCAGGGCTGGGTGGGCAAACAGAGCCGGCACTGAGAACAAGCCTGAGCAGTTGCTTAGTATTTGCCCCGAAGCCACCTTGGGAATCTCTCTCTGCAGCCCCCAGCTGGGCCGGGGTGGGGAGCTGTGGGTGAGAACTTCCCAGTCTCTCACAAGGAAAATTTTAACAAGCCAAATACTTGCATTTGCTTTGGCGTGTTCTTTTGTAAATTTATTTGATATATAGGGTATTGGGATGGAAATGGAGGCAGTAAGGCACGGGTCTGAGCTAATATGTCCTTTTTAATAACTAAATTTAGGATAAGAGGTATGAAAGGGGACAAAATAAAGACCTTTCAGCTTCTGGAATCCTGGTTAGAGGGGAAAGTTCCCATTAGGAATTAAGAATCTCCTGGAAGTGAGTGAGGACTTTTATGCTCTCCACCCAAGTCATTCAGAATGCAATCTGCTAGGCCGAACATAATACCAAACAAATCTTTTTTAAATCCTGTTCAACCCAAATCTTTCCTGGATTGCCCTCTTCTGAGTGTCTCCAAAAGATCTGGGAGGAAGGTGAAAAGATTGGCTCTGGGGTGGATAAGGCATTGGTTCTTTCTAGTTGCCACGACTTGACCTGAAACCTTTCACCCAGTCGTCTCAACAAAGTTTCTCCCTCTGGGCCAACGTCCCTCTAACAGGAAGCCCTTGGCCTTGCTGCCTACATCCTCAGCCAACTCTCCCTGTGTGCAGCTTCCTGCCCTCGCGTCTGGGGTCACTCTGCGAGCTGCACTGTGGTTTTTTTTTTTTTTTTTTTTTTTTTTTTATCAGCATCTGGACAACTGGGTGTGCACCAGCGCATTCGAATAATTATGCCTGTGGACACTTCTTTAGTCCTCAGATTCTTCCGTTAGTGTTTAATTCTCCCGTGTGTATTCGGGTACAATTGCATGTACGTTCCATGCACGGTCAGGTGACTCAGATTGAGTTTGAGCTCGGATGTGCTCGAAGCCCTGGGTCTGCGTGGGGAGGAGGAGGTGTGTAAGTGCAAACGCGTGGCCTTGGATGGGATGTAAGGTTGATAAGGCTTTTGGACCCTGGGGCCCTCTAGGCATCTTTTATACCTTCATCTCCCCAATTTCTTAGCATTTAAGGAAGAGGGAGACGCTCCGACGTTCCCGCGCCCCGTAACCCTTGGAGAAGCGAGGTTCCAGCCTCCAGGACCTCTTCTGGGGCATTGTACCTGGGCCAGGCCGAACCGGGGCGGTAGGGGAGGGGCTGAGGTCGCCCGCACCCCCTTCCAAGCCACTTCGCTGCCCAATGCGCCCTGGAGCTCTGGGGAAGATGGGAACCCAATAGTGGAAACCCTGGCGCTTCCAGAACGGTGATGTGCACGCTTGGGGGCAAAACTCTCCCTGGAGCAGCCGCATTTGTAACTCGGGACTGGCCTAGGACCGCCCCCTTGGCCCCTCCTCCAGCCCCCACCGCTTCGTCGCGCTCAACTGGCTTCCAGAGAGCGCATCCCAGCCACCCCCAAGCACCCTGGGGCCGCTCCAACCTTGGGGGGCCCTGGAGATAGCCTATGAGCCTGGATTGGGAAGAAAGGGGACCAACAAGGGTGCCACGACTCTCCTGCTGGCAGTCCCGTCTAGTCCTCTGCCAGAATCCGCCCTTCCCCGGAGCGCTTCTACTAGTCTCGGGGACCAGCGGGAGCGCTGGCCTCGGGTGTACGGAGGTGAGGGGTGGGTGTGGTGTGTGTGCACGTGTTCACGTGCGACTGGAAGCAGTTCCCTAGGCGTTCCCGAAATCTCGTAGATGTGTTTCCTGTGAGAAAGATGCGGACTTGCAGCTACCTTCAGGTCAGTTTGTTCGTAAAGGGCGAATGTCAGTCCAATGGTTGGACGTTGTGTCTCTCCTGCGCATTAGGACAAAGTGAAGCCACCTCTCCCCCTCCCTCATGCAGCCTCCCAGGCCAAGTCAAAGGGCCCAGGCCCCAGGCCGTCAGGTGCATCCCGGTGCTCTGATCCTAGGGCCTAAGATGCCCTGGTACCCACTTAGGGTCAGGCTGGGAAACTTACACGGGAAAGGGAGACCCGGAGAGCTTCCCCACATCCATTGCAGGGAGGAGTCCCGACCACGGCGTATTGGACCTACCGACCTGGCATCTCTCTGCCGACCCAGTCTGGAATCCAGACAGGCAGCGGCGGGGAAGGAAGGGACGATAAGGAAGTTCGGTTGGTACAGAATGGAAGTGGAGATGGAAGAAGGGAAGAAAAGCAAGCAATACTGGGTGGGGATGTGAGGTTGGCTGAGGATGGGGTGGGTATGTAGTTGGGGCTGCCTCAGAGAGAGGCGGCTTTTCACCCTGCTACGGGGAGGTGCGTCTGGCTGCGCCGCCGTTGCCTTCCCCCAAATAAAGCTAATGATGTAGTAATTTAGGAGGGGGTGAGGGGCTGGGCAAAAGGAGGGAGGGGAGAGGATGGGGGAACGTGCGCCCCAAGAGCGAAAGCAAACTGCTGTGGAGGCGCTGCCCGCGGCTCAGGCTTCCCAACAGGTTAGCTATACTGAGATCCACCCGGCATTTCGCAGGAAGGGGGGGAGACAGCGAGAGGGGGAGAGAGCCTCACAAGAGGACAGAGCGAGCGAGGGAAAGAGATAGGAGCCAGAGTGCGCACCGCGCAGCTTAAGAGGAGAGACTTACTAATGAATATTTATCCGCCGCTGCTTCATGCTCCTGGCTTTCCTTACCTTTCTGCAGGTAAGATTCTCCCTGCGCCCCATCCCAGGGGGCCTTCTTAGCTTCCCCGTCGGGGCGCCAGTGGCCCGGCGGGAGGGCTCCTGGCACACGGGGGTGGGAGGGCGGCTCTGCTTCATGCTGGGCTCGGGCGGCGGGGCGTGAGACCCCGCACGACCAAGAACCGCGAGTGGGCTACCTGTGTGGAATGGGTGTGAGTGCGTGTGTATGAGTGTGTGTGTGAGACAGAGAGACAGAGAGAGACAGAGACTGCGCCCACAATCTCGCCTGTTTCGGGCACTCTCTAGGGACATTTTCCGACTTTTCACTGGGGTGCCCTGGATTTCTCCCCTTGCCTGTTTCCCCTCCCCTTCGTCTCACCCTCTCCACATCCCCCACCTCACCCCACTCCACTCCACCCTACCCCACCCCACCCCAGGCCCATCCCCGGCTGCTAAAACGCTCTTCTGTGGGCTATTATGCCACTGGCACGGGCTCCCCCAGGCCAGATCCCGGGTCTCTCAAGAAAGACCATGAATAGTTTGGTTTCCGTAGTAAACCCCCACACAAAGGCCGTCTGGCCCCCCGGGGTCCGGGTCCCCCTTCCTGCAGGCTTCGCTGGTGAGGTGCTGGGGCCGCACTCTTTCTCTCTCCCCCTCTCAGGGCTCCAGGGCCCAGACCAAGGAGCTAAGAGGGATCGGGACCCGGGACTTCGGGTACGCGGTGGAACTCCTTGGGGGCCGCCCCACAGGCTTCCTGGGCTGGAGTCCAAGACCCCAAGGGGAGGGCATCGCTTTCTCACCGGCCCCCCCTCCCGCCACTACCACCCCTGCCATGGGGCCAGAGAAGCACCGGGAACTCGGGCCTGCCTGGGGTAAAGAGGGAGGGGAAAAGGAAGGGGTTGGGGAGGGGCTGACGGCACAACCAGAATTCTTTAAACGGACTTACCCGGACACCTGTTGAGAATCCATTTGGGGTCGGCAGGCTCCGGAGCTGCCGCGAGGTGGACAACACAAAACCAAAAGCCGAAGTTGGAAAAAGAAATTTCTTTCTCTGACCATGCTGGACGCGGCTGGTCAGGCTCCCGGCTCTGCGCTAGGGTTGGCTGGCTGTAGCGCCAAGAGTGTCTTTGCCAGGTCCCGCCACCCCAGCGGCCCACTCATCCCACGCCTCCGCGGCCAGAGACTCAAGAGTCCGCGGACTCGGTTCTCAGGGCCCGGCACCGAAAGCTCGGCTTAAGCCCGGGCAGGCTTTCTAAGCCCTGCTCAGAAGTCAAGAGCAGCAGCGCTGCCGCTCTGCGCGGCCTTTCATGCCTTCGACTCTCCTTATTCTTGCGCCTCGGCCTCTCCGGGCGCCCTCGGACAAAACCCCCAGAGCCCGGCCGCTCCCTTCCGGCTAAATCCCCTTCGGGGTCAGTGAGCTACCAGCACCCGGGCGCGCGCCTCTCCTGCCAGCCGTGTGGCTCTTAAAGAGCCGCACCCCCCCCTCCGCCCTGCGCGCTCCCTTGACCCCCGCCTCCCCGCCCCTCTCCTCCTGATCTAGCCCCCCACGCCGACGCCTGAGGTCCCTGCTGCCCCGACAGATGCCTGCGGACTCCCAGCCCCCTCCCCTCACCTCCTCCCCTGAGCAGCCGGTGGGCCTGGCCTCGAGGCCACAGGGCTGAGTTCTCCCCTCTGCCTCAGGTCCCATTTCTCACCAACAGCTTCCACCCCTCGCCTCCACGCCCCTACTTTTGCCCTTTGGGTGGATCAAAGACTGGACACCGCCTTTGCCTAGCTCAGAGATGATCCCTAAAGATTGTCAGTTTAGGCTTGAATTAGGGAGGTTATGGGATGGGAAATGCGGCAGGGCACGCCAGTGGAGCTAGAGAGAGAGAAAGAGGAAGGGACACGATGGGTTTAGAGGACTCTGCTATCCCAGGGCCTACCTGGTCTTTTGGCAGAGGGTAAGGGCTGCCCCCTTCCAATCCTTCCTAGAGATGCTATAGTGGAATGGGGTCCTGAGGTTACCAACCTGCCCAGGCCCACTGTATATCTGAGGGTCGTGGGGTAGGTATGGGGGTGGGGGTGGGGGACTCCAGAAGGCCCTGCATATGGATCTGGGAGCAGAGTGCTTCCCAAACCCAGAGCATTAATTCACCCAAAAGTAATCTTTAAGGACCCAAGAGCTGGACATGCAAGGAAGGAGAGGGGACCTTGAGGTACAGCTGTTCAGGGAAAAGGGTGTCAGAGGAGACAGCAGACAGAAAGGGAAGGAAGTCTACTTTTTGAATACTGAAGCACAAATTCCTAATAGAGTTTCTTATATTTACTGGCCAACCATGTCACCTATCCCATCAAGAAAAGAGGAAGTAGATGATTGCTTTGGTTCCCCTTCCTTCCAGAGCTGTGCCTCTCTGCCTTTCTCCCAGGCCTGCATCCAGCCTACTCTCACCCTAGCAGCCAGCTGACCCCTGTCCAGGGTGGCTATGCATAGGGTACTTTCTTCCCGGCCTCCCCAGGACTAGAAACATGATTAAAGAGAGACCAGAGAAGGGATGGTTCTCTTGAGTAGGGGGTGCAGGGTAAGCCGTGGTACCCCACCTTCCCTACTGGCAAGTATTATAACATTTGACTGAGCTCTGCACATGGAGGAGGCAATGATGGAGCTGAGCTGCTTGTCCATTCTCAAATTCAAGCCCTAGCACACCAGTTCTGGGTGTCAAAAAAGAGCTTTGGGAAGTGCATAGCTGTGAAGGCCAAAATAATTTGAGGAGAGAGGAGGATGGAAGACTGACCCTCCCCTGGGCATCTGTCCTCTGGCACCCAATTTTAGTCCAGATGCACCTTTAAGGAACTGGGGTGACTAATTGATTTGCAATTGGCTCTCTTAGGAGAGGTAGGCAGTGTACTCCCTGGGCTAGATCCCCAGGCCGCAATATGTCTCACATCCCCCAAGCTTCCGGGCCCTCTCTCTTGGGGTTGGGTCACCACAGCCGGCTAGGCTGGGTTTGTGCCCACCCTCCTGGGTCTGACAGTGGGAGGTGCTGTGGTTCCAGACAGAGCCAAACTTCCCTTGTAGAGGATGTGGGGGGCGGAGGGGCCTTTAGCGGGCAGCGGAGCTCATTAGGCAGAGCGGGGTGCCGAGAGGTGCGCGCTGCCGGCCCCTGAGGCCGCCTTTGAGCGGCCGGGGAGGCTTCATTAAGCGGCGCTAACAAGGCGTACAAATGCCAGGCCCAGCAGCTTTCTTGCAATGCTGGGGCCTTAGCAGGGCGCCGGGCTAATGAGGGTCACTCAAAGGGGCTGATCAAATATTCAAATTTCCCCCGCACGCCAGGAACTTTTATGCATGGAGAAAGTTGAGGCAACTGAGCTGTGTTTACGGTCCTGGGCGACAATTGCTAGGAGCGCCGGTCCCCGGAGGCTAAGACAGGGGGGCGGTGGGGCGGGGGCGCAGGGAGGGTGTAGTTGTTGTTGTTGTTGTTGTTTTTCAAAGGAAAGTAATGGGGTCCTTGAAGGGCTTCGCCGCCTCCCCGCCTGCGTGCTGCGCTCCCCTGCGCCCTCCCTGGCCGCCCGCGCCAAGCGCCTCAGTTTGCAGCTTGCGGGGAGGCCCAGATTGCGGGCCACCCGGCCAGGTCTCGCCTACAGACATCCTGGGAGCCGGAAGGGGCGTTGCTCCCCCCCCACAGGACAAACCTTCCCGGGCCGACTGGGTCTGCGATTTAGAGCTGAGCTGGGCTGATTGGGTGCAGCTGCCCCAGCTCTCCGGATCCTTCTTTCCCAGAGACCGGAAGACCCACTGGCTCTCCCCGTAACCCGAAACAAGGAGAGAGTGGGATGTCTCTCAGGCAATTCTCCTGATGGAGTTGAGACTTCCCCAGTGCTGGGGTTGGCGCTATTTGTAAGTAAATGCCCAGTAGGTCCTGGTACAAGGAGAACACTCTCCAGCCCAAACGCCCTCTTTTCTCCCTGCACCACCTGGATGCTGTCCTTCAGATTCCCCGGGCCAGGATTGAAGCGGGGATGATGGCGGCAATTTTGTTCTGCACAGGTGACTCGGCCTGTATGGGCGGCAAGTACCAGACCCCGCAGTCTGAGCAGCCGGAGGGCAGAGGGGAGACCTAGACGCTCCGCGGGCTGACCTATCCACCCGGGGCTCGCCGCTCTGAGTGACCCAGGGTGCAGATGCCCTCCGCCCCACCCCCGCCAGGAGTCCCCCAGGCTCACGTCCCAGCCTTCGCGCTGCTCGAAAGCTTGGTCCCCAGAGCAGCGAGAAAGACGGCTTGGGCCCTGGAACCCAAGGTCCCTCTTCTCCTATCCCCCCTCTCCCCAATGCCTTAGAGCCTGGGAATGTGGGAGGGGAAGCTCTGGTGCTCCACAGCCCCCCTTCCCACCCACCCACACACAAAACCTCTAGACTGAGACCCTGAGGAGCCTGCGCCCCCAGCCCCGCCAGGAGCCAGTCCGGCCATCCGTGCTGAGGACCAACTGCCCCGCCTCCCTGCCTAGCTCCCGGGACTCTCAACTTACCGGCTCCAGGCGGCGGGCGTGGTGCTTCGGCCAGAGACAAGAGGCTCTGGCGACGGCAGGACCGCGAGGTGGGCTGGGTGGGCGGGCGGCATGGAGCTCCGCTTTGCAGGGAGGCGCGGACAGCTCAGGGCTGCCGTCCGCCCCGCCAGGTCCCCGCGCACAAAGCTGCGCGCCTTGCAGCAGCCCTCTGCCCGGTTTCCGCGGCTGGCACCGGAGCAGGCGGGGTTCGGCGGGTAGGCAGACACCAGGGCAGAGGCTGGGTGGCGGGGGTGTCGCCGAGCGGTGCCTCAGCCCCACTTGCCTCAATTCTCCCTGAGTGAGGACGGTTTTCGATTTCAGCTTTCGGCAAGGCTCGCGGCACCTTCCCAGCCTCCCTCCGGGGCTGGCCCAGCAGCGGCGGGGAGAGGCCAGGTCGCCCCCACCAGGAGGCGGGGGTTGCGGGGACGGGGAGGGGACTGGCCGGGTTCATCCGCCCGCCGGGCGCCTGGGTCCCCGGCTCCAGGGGATGCAGTTTCGGGGTCACGAGCTGCTTTCAAAAAGTTGAACACAATATTCGGAAACCCACCCGTAGGAATTCTCCCCCCACACGCGGCACAATACCCACTCCCCTCCCCTTTTTCATTCCTTCCTCCCCCGCTTCCTCCTCCTGCCCCTTCCCCCTCCCACCCTTCAGCCTATAATCCTTCCCCTACGAGAGAAAAGGATCGGGAAGAAAAGATGAAGTGTCTGTTTTTGTGTCCCAACCTTTGGGCCCTTTCTGGGCCCGCAGTGAACGACCGCCCAGAGCTTCGCAGCTGAGCGGAAAAGGATTCACTGCCGGGAGGAAGATGTATGGGGGGAGAGAACACTGAAATGGGCTTGCAGGTCTTACCTTTGGGGGGATATTTTTCTGCCCCAGTCATCAGATTTAGGACGCGCTACCCTCCCTTCCACCCCCACCAACAACCCCGCTAGCCTCCGGCCCAGTGAGCCAGTGTGGGCCCCTCGCCACACCCAGAGCCTCCCTTCAGCCCGGAGCTTGCAAGGCGGCTTACACTTCTCGGCCCGCCCTCGGAGGCCTGGCGCTGCGGGAGTCAAGGCCTGAGCAGGGCCCGAGCTCTGGGTTTAGGGGCTGGGACACTCACAGCCCCAGTCACGTTAGGTTTCCCATTTAAATTCTCTCCCAATCTCTCTTTCTCTCTTCCCTCATTGAGATCTCCAAAGTGGTGTGGACCCGGCGCCTCGCCCCCAGATCTGCATCGGAATGCAGAAAAGATCTTTTTTTTAAAAAACAAGTTTTGAATTCCTCAATGATTTTTCTTCTGGAAAGGCAGCTTAGGATAATTATTTCAGCTTTATTGAGGGCAGATTAGTTGAAGTCTGGGCGCTGCGTTTCAATACGCGTTGTACACGGGCCGACAATGTGGGCATTGTTGGCTACTGTGTGTGAATCCATTCAACATATACACTTTTTAACACCAAACCAAGTCCTGTCTAAATATACACAGTGCGTGGGGAACGACGTCTCTGACCCCGACAAATCTGCGTAAATCACACTTCCATAGTTACAGAAGCCTCACAAAGGGAGGCCTGGCTCAAGATGCTGATTACATCTTCTTAAAAGCAACATACCTAAGAATAAATACCCATGCCTGGCCTGGGGGCTGTGGTGGCCAGAGGGAGAGAGGACCCTGTGCTTTCTATGGACTTTTGGAGTCTGTTTTAGGCTTGCAAGGATACTTTCCCTCCAGAAATTAGATAGTTTTTAAAATAATTATCTTCCAATATGAGCAAACAAGTAATTTTCAGGCCTTATCCACTTCATCCAAGTGGCTGGCCTCCAAAGTTTGAGTGCCCTTCTGGAGCTGGTGGGCAGGCCCAGAGCTCCTAGTGTGTGTGTGGGCAGGTGGGCATCCTCAGGGCTTCCTGGGGTCAGGAGGGCTCCCAGGCTTCTCTTCTGCCACAGCTCCTCCACAACTCCTTACTTAGGGAGGCGGCTGAATTCTGGGAGGAAACAAAGAGTTGGTTTGCTTTTTAAATGGAAAAAAATGTACTGTTGTTTAGATTGTTATTTTAAAATACACGAGGATGGGAGGAATAAAGGCTTTTTGGCTGGGGGAAGAGTAAAGAGAAACCCTACCCATGCAGAGGGAGTTGGGGTGAATGACGCGCCGCTGGGCACAGACGGGGGAGGCCAGAGCGGCCTCTAGCGCCGTGTGTCCAGGGCTCGGGCTACTGGCGCCAGATGCCCCCAGAATCTGGGATCCCTGGCGGGCGCCAAGGCCTGCCGGGCCAGGGTCGATGCTTGGTGGGCCCCATGATCTCATCCCTCTTTTCTTCCTTGCCACTATTAGTGCTCACATAGGCAGAAAGAGGCGGCCCCCGACGTGCACACCCTGTGCAAACCATGCCCGCTCGGCTGGCCCGCCGCCTCTCCTTGCGGGCCGGCCCGCCAGCTTTCCTGAAGTGTGGGGGAGCCTCTTGCTTCCCAACAAAATCCTCCCCTCTCATTGCTCATCCCATTCAACTACTCTGAGCCCATGGCTTTTCGAATTTCTGGATCAACTTCTTTGGGGAAGAGGGAAGAAGGAGGCTCAGAGACAGCAATAGAGAAAAGGGAAGAGAAGAGAGCAGAGGAGAGGAGAGAGAAAGGAGGGGGAAGTGGTGAGATTAAGAGTTGCAAAGATTAAAAAAATTCTCCTTCTCCCCCTTTTCCCTCCTTCCCTGCTCTCCCCCTCCCCCCTCTGGCTAAGTGGTAAAACCGTCCTTACGTTCTCGGTATTGATTGGCAGGGCTGACAGTGATTGGCAGTGGTTGCCGTGGCAACGCCACAACGACACGCCACAGACCAATAGAAAAGCGAAACAAAATGTTTCAATGCTGCACTCACTGTGGATTTAGGGGAGATATTATGAGGCTGTTGTCATTAGGGCGATTGCTGTGGAATCGCTGAATCTTGACTCGGCGGTGGTTGGCTCTCGCTCTCTTCTCTCCCTCTCCCTCTCTGTCTCGGGTTCTCTGCGCGCGCGCACCGGGCCGCTCTCCTTCCTCCCTCTCTATGTGGCTGCGCGGGTGTGTGTGTGTGTGGATGTGTGTGGGGTGTGGGTGTCCCTTACGCCCTTCCTCCTCCCCCTCCTCCTCCTCCTGCTCCCCCCTCCTTTCCTTCTCCTCCTCCCCCCTCTCCTCTCCCTCCTCCTGGTCCTCATCGCCCCTCTCCTCCTCTTCCTCCCCTCTCTCTTCCTCTCCCTGAATTTTCTCCTCTCCTCTCAGGTCAGTCCATGGTATTCCGCTCCCCCCTAGACCTCTATTCCTCCCACTTCTTGTTGCCAAACTTCTCCGATTCTCACCACCGCTCCCTACTTCTGGCGAGTAGCGGCGGCGGGAACGGTGCGGGAGGCGGCGGCGGCGCGGGAGGCGGCAGCGGCGGCGGGAACGGTGCGGGAGGCGGCGGTGCTGGCGGAGCAGGCGGCGGCGGCGGCGGCGGCGGCGGCTCCAGGGCCCCCCCGGAAGAGTTGTCCATGTTCCAGCTGCCCACCCTCAACTTCTCGCCGGAGCAGGTGGCCAGCGTCTGCGAGACGCTGGAGGAGACGGGCGACATCGAGCGGCTGGGCCGCTTCCTCTGGTCGCTGCCCGTGGCCCCCGGGGCGTGCGAGGCCATCAACAAACACGAGTCGATCCTGCGCGCGCGCGCCGTGGTCGCCTTCCACACGGGCAACTTCCGCGACCTCTACCACATTCTGGAGAACCACAAGTTCACTAAGGAGTCTCACGGCAAGCTGCAGGCCATGTGGCTCGAGGCGCACTACCAGGAGGCCGAGAAGCTGCGCGGCCGCCCACTAGGCCCGGTGGACAAGTACCGCGTGCGCAAGAAGTTCCCGCTGCCGCGCACCATCTGGGACGGCGAGCAGAAGACGCATTGCTTCAAGGAGCGGACTCGGAGCCTGCTGCGGGAGTGGTACCTGCAGGACCCCTACCCCAACCCCAGCAAGAAACGCGAACTGGCGCAGGCCACCGGCCTCACTCCCACACAAGTAGGCAACTGGTTTAAGAACCGGCGGCAGCGTGACCGCGCCGCAGCGGCCAAGAACAGGTTAGTGTCAGGGCCCGCAGCCGGGCTGCAGCCTCTGGGGCCGGGGAAGGGGTGGAAACGGGGACGAGCCGGGCTTGGTAGAGGCGGCCGCGGAGCGCAGGAGAAGCCGCGACTCCCCGGCCAGTTGGAGAAAGTTCCCGCTTGCCTGGCGCGCGGAAGAGGGGGTGGGCTGTGGGTTTATGATTGCTTTGCCCGAGAGGTGCTTTCGTCAGGGCCGAGAGTGTGAGTGTGCGGCCCGAGTGCCCGCAGCCCCTGATCCCGGCCAGGGGAGCTATAGCGGCGCGCTGCACCCGCGCCCGCCTCCTCAGCCCTGACGCCAGCTCGGCGGCGCTCCTCTGGAGCCTGGAGACGGGGAAGGAAGGAAAGCACTCCTTGTCATCTGGTTCTTATTTCCATGCATTGCAAAATCCCGAGAGAAATCCACGAACGTCAGGGAGAGGAAAGTGAACCTGGTTCTCTGCCACAAAGGGAAAAGGCTGGCGGCCACCGCACAGCGGGCCTCCTTCTCCCAACATTGGCTGCCCTGACCCGGAGCAGGAGAGCTGGTTGGGAGCGGAGAGGCTGTGTGTGTCGCGCGGGCATGTACTCGCCCTCCTGCCCAGGCCTAGGAGCATCCCTTTGGTCCGCTAAGTTGGGAAGCGGGCAGGAGCAGCCCCGCTGCCGGCAAGTTGGCCACAAAGTCACAAAGTTGTACTAGGCTTGACTGTCCTCATAGCCGGGCCTGAGGGAAGGAGAAAAAGAACCAGAGGGAAAGAGGGGAAAGGGGAAAGGAGTGGGGAGAGAAAGGAAAAGGAAGAGAGGAAGTTGGGCGAAAGCCCTGATGAGCAGCCTGAGTCTCTGGCCAGCTAGAGAGGCGAAGGCCCCGGTATACCTCAGGGAGCAGGCCCCCAGCTGCTGACAGCTGTCGGTAGGTGGGAGCTGGGTGTGAGTTCCTGGAGTGTGTTCGGGTTTCAGAGGCCCAGGTCTGAGCTTACGGCCCTCTCGCCCCCGCCTGTGCAGTCCACTTTCCCCCATGAGGGGAGCACCCTGGACCAGGCGAAGACCTCCTTGTGGGGAGAACTCGGAAACACTAGGTTCGGGCAGCCAGTTCCCCGAGGAGGCAAAGGGAGACTGCTCTGTGCTCCTTCCTTGCTTTCCCCTTCCCTCCCTTTCTTTCTCCCTCTTTCCCCACTTTTCCACTTCAGCTTCCCTATTTTCTCTTTTCTCGACCCTGCGCTCTGCTTAGGGATCGGAAAGCAAAGCTGGCCGGTCCTGCACGGGAGATGGGAGGGTGAGAAACCGCAGCCCTTGGATGTGTGTTTGGGGGAGCAGGGGCAGAAGGTACTGAGTGGACCGGACAGGTCCTGGACCGCCGTCTCAGTCTGAGCAGTCCTGTCCCTCTCTGACTTCTGCTTTTCCAGGGCTAGGCGTCCTTTACTGCGTGCGCCCAGGCTTCCCTAGGCGGGAGGCCTCGGCTTCTACCATTCCTCCGAGGCCGGCCCTTATCTGGGAAGCCTGGGAAAGCTCCTGAAAGCCCTGGGGAAGAGAGCCGAGAGCCTAGACTCGGGCTGGGGAGGCTCTGTGGCGCTCAAGGAGCGAGCGGCCGGGTGCCTGAAGCAGGGGATGAGCGCAGAGCTGAGTCGGGGGCGGCGGCGCGGGGGAGCCTGGTGGCGGGCCGCTGTGTCAGGGCGGGCGCGGCTCTCTTTCTCCCGTAGGCTCCAGCACCAGGCCATTGGACCGAGCGGCATGCGCTCGCTGGCCGAGCCCGGCTGCCCCACGCACGGCTCGGCAGAGTCGCCGTCCACGGCGGCCAGCCCGACCACCAGCGTGTCCAGCCTGACGGAGCGCGCGGACACCGGCACCTCCATCCTCTCGGTAACCTCCAGCGACTCGGAATGTGATGTATGATAGCCAAGGCTGCCCTCCTCCCTCTCCTTCCCCTCCTACCTCCTCCTTTCCCTCCTCCTCCCAGACCTCCTCCTCTTACTCCTCTTCCTCCTCCTCCATCCCCAGAACAAACCGAAATCAGGATACACACCATACACACACAAGTCCACACACACTCCCACCCCAGCCAAAAATATATAAAAACCAAGAAAAATAACAAATTAACCGCAAACTATCAACAACCCCAACCACCATCTACCACCAAGGCCACCCCAAAGGACCGCGACGCCAACAGACAGTCAAACGCTGATGTTGCGGGCAGAAAACATAAAGGAGGTGACAATTGTATACTTTCTAGGACAAGCACGGCTTCTCCTTTCGGTTCCCACGGACCGGCACCCCACCTGCATGACGATTTATTTGTATCTGGGAAAATATTCTCTCTAGTTAAAAATGATTTAAAAAGAGTCGGCTATACAAAAACCAATCACCACCACGAGGACAAGACGACAAAAGCAAAACAAACAAAAAGAAAAAAATAAAATCGCGATCTCCGTTCCGAATTTGTTAAGAAAAAAAAAAGGAAGGAAGGGAAAAAAAAAGAACTCCTCGAGAGGGAAATAGCAAATGTTTCTCGCCTTTTGTTGCTCTTTCTCTCTTTTTTTTCTCTCTTGCTCTCTTTCTTTCTCTTTCTTCTCTCTGTTTTTAAGTCCAAGTATTGGTCAAACAAGATGCAATCTTCTGTTTTTTGTTCAGCAGACAATCATTTTCTTCGTAAGCACCTTTTTCTCTCCACTCTGTCACTGCCTGTGTGGGTACTGGTTATAAATGTGGAAAAAGAATAGTTATGACTGTAACAGATTTTTATTTTTATTTCAAAATTTTATATGAATTATGTATATCTTAATGATCGGTCATTTTCCCAGTTTGTAATATATGTGTAGAAATTGCCTGTATATGATATTGCTTTTTCTCCTCTCTCTTTCTCTCTTCTCCCTCTTTCTTCCTCCCCCCTGCTCACCTGTCTCTTTCCTTTTTGGGGTTCTCCTCCCACCCGGTGTTCCTGGCGTCGACTTGGCAGTCAAGGCGTGGCGTGGTGGCCCGGGTTAGGAAGAGGGACCCATCGCTAGCGAAAGCGGAGAGTGAGACTGTAGTATTCTTATGCAAAAGCTATTTCAAGTATTTCTTAGCTGCTTTGGAGGTATCTCTCACTCCCCGTAGGGCGCTTTTACTGTTATCTTAAACTGCGTGTTTATCTATATGTAAAAACTTTCTAAAGCAAATACAGTATTCTCCATTTTCTTATCACTCCTATAGACTGGCGTTTTTGTCCGCCCCTGGCCCGAAGCCCCAGGGTGCAGCGGCCGGGCCGGGCCTTCGCTTCCACTTACTCTCGGCCGCCTGAGTTCAGGATTTCAGTGGCCGGTCTGAGCTTTTTGGGGGCTTTGGGAAGATGGGAACAGGCCCTTCGGAAAAGAACCGAAGCCGAACCCTGAGCGAAAAGGCCGACAGGGCGCGGGGGGAGAGGGCTACCGCCGGTTTCTTCTCCGCGAGATGCCAGACCCACGTAACCGCGGCGCGCGAGCATCTGGAATTGTAGCCTGGCGCAGCCATCGGGGTCTTTGGGGTGTGTAGGGCGCCTTTCGGGGGTTGTTGCTTTGGTTTTTGAAAGAGGAAACACACAAGGTCACCAAGCCCAAGCATCCATCTCAAGCGGAGCTAACAGGCTTTGTCTTCGTTCTTTTTGGGGGAATTGGGGGAACTGTGGCCCGGGTGGAGGAGGCGGGGGAGCGAGGGCGGAGGTAGTTTGCAGAGTTTAGGGCCTAGAATCAGGAAGGGTTTTCCTCCTCGCCGCCCGTGCGGGTGTCTGTGGGACTTGCCTCATGGCTCTCGATCTTTCTCCCTCAAATTTCTTCCCGTCCTTGGGGATGCCTGAGTGTCTTGTGCCCCTAAGGTATTTCAGAGTTGGTTTACACTTAAAACGAAAACCAAAAAAATCACCGCCTCTTGCTAACCATGTTCCCTCTGGCCCCAGGCCTCGCCGCCCTGCTCGGGCCCCCACAGTTCCCTGGGATGGCGTGGCTGGCCTCGCCTCTGCCACTCTAGGCCAGGGCGGCCTGTGCCCAAGGAGGAGCCAAAGAGGTAATTTCAGAAAACTTGCCTTTACTTGAAAGTCCAATTTCCAAAGCGAGGAGGATTAGGGAGAAACGTGCCTGGAATTTCGCGGGCGTCTATAAACTAATTTTGACTTCCGATTTCCTTTTGTCCCCATCCACAGCAGCGCCAGGGGGTTTATGTGGGCTGAGCTGGCCAGAGAGGCGGGCTGGCCTGGAGGTGCCCTGGGTGTGTAAGTAGGGCCTTGCACCCCCAGGGTGCACCTTTGCCTTGTGTGGAAGGTTCCCTCTTGCACCCCTAGTTAGAACCAGGATACCCAGCCGACCTCCCAAGCGTCCAAGCTCTGTGGCCTGGCATACATTGTCAGAGTCTCTGCATGTGTTCACTGCTCAGGAAAATGTTCCTCATGCTGCCACCTTTCAAGCAATATTGGCCCAGGTGGTAGGAATTTGGGAAAGAGCTGCTTGGATTCTACCCAGCTGGAGCCTCTGTTCTGGGATGAGGGACTCTGTCACCTACCCTCATTTCTTTTTTTTAGATAGCCAGTCACATACTTGACCCAGAGCTTGGGCCTGGAAGCCCATAGAAGTGCCTGCCTCAGAGTGGAGAGTCTGGATGGACCCTGCCCAGCTGACAAAGTAGAATGGATGGGCAAAAGGAGAGAGGTGGCACTGCTGGAGAGTGACTCCAGGAGGGGCCGAGGCAGTGACACCAGGGAGTAGGTACCTGTTTGTCTGGGGATAGAAGACAAACCTGGAAGTTAAAATGATTCCTTCTGTCAACATACCCAACAGAGAAAGCAGTTTGGGACATCTGCTGCCCACTCCTTCTGCATTGCAGAGAACAGGCTATCAAACCCACAGCAGCCTTCAGCTTTGACGGGCCTCGCCCTACTGGGTGTCACCTGCCTGTTGTCTACCTTGCTGTCTATCATCTAGCACTCTCTCTCTCTCTCTCTCATCTCCTATGTTTATACCGAGGTCTGCACAAATACCAATACTCCACTCTTTGTACTTTCTGACCTTACTTACAGGGTCCCTGCAGGAGGGACATGTGTGCTTGTTGTGGTGGTGTATATGTGTGCATTTCTGGATGCTAGGCCTCCACCACTCAATCAGAGTCCGCATGCAGAAGGACATGTGTGTGACGTTTGGTATAATATGTGTGTACAGTGCATCAGTGTGTGCCCAGTATGTGTTTCCATGTATATTGCATGGCATAGGTATTTGTATGTGGCTTGGACAGTATATATGTACCTAATTCCTCAAGGAATGAATATGAGGGTGGCTCCAATACACCTATAGGATGCTGTGTGTACAGAGCCTTTCTGTGTAGTAGACATGTGACTTGTGGATCTTGGCTCTGGTGTGGACATGTGTGGGTTCCCTTGTTTGAGTCGCTCCACAGATATAACTGCCATACTGCCACCCCTAACAGGTCTTCCTGCCCCTTTAGGAAATAAGGGGTCACAATGGGGATTCATTGACTAGAGGGCAGAGGCTGTTGGGCCCTTGGCTTTCCCAGTCCATCCTTTAATCTAATAAACTGGGGATATTTGTCGATTTGGCTTTGGCCCCTTTAAACATTGGAGTGAGGGGAAAGAGGTCTCTTTCTGGGTTATCTCTTACCTGAAGATTCTCTTTCTGGGTGCCTCAAAGCCATGGCCAAAGCAGTTAACATCCTACAGGCTGCTCAGGCAGAGCTCAAGGGCAGGGCTGGCTGAAGCCCTGCTTGCAGAAAAGCCATCTCAGCTGCTGTACACAGCCCCCACCTCCTGGGAATGTTGCAGGTTGCGCCTAGGCCAGGAGAGTGTGTGCATTGGTGTGTGCTCTCTCGTGGGCCTCCTGGGCCTGGGTCCGGCTGGACAAGTGGGCCTAAGTGTTAACTGTCAGCCCCCTCTGTCCAGGCAGTGCTGCACCTGGTGGGCTGGCCCCTCTCCTGGTGTACCAGAGTGTTCACGGCCACTGCCCTGTGCCCAGCCCACCTCCACCTGGCATCCCAGTCGTTGTGCTCGGGCCAGCAGCCCTCCCTATGTGCTTACCTGGGGCTGCCTTTTCTAGGGTGTGAGAGGCTTGAGGAATAACAGCGAATTTGGCTATTTTTTTCTTCATTCCTGATCCTGCATCCCTCAAAATAAAACAAGGCAATCCAGGATTTGCATCAAAACCTGAATAGGCAGAATGAGGTCTGAAAGTGGGCAAATCTATATCAAAGTCTTTGACCCTTAGAAGCTGCCTGCCAAAAGCCAGCTCCTTCAGGCCTGCTCACCCTCTTCCATCACTACCCCCAGATCCAGCCCTGAGCCCCCACCCAGCCCCTCTTCTTGTCCCCCTCCAATGCTACAGTTGACTGCCCAATGCCAGTGCAGTTCATTCCCCCTTGTGGAACCTACAACTGATTAAAATGAAGTAACCTGGAAGCTGCACAGCACAAGACACAGATGAGGGGCTGGAGTCACATGAACCTGTCCAGGCTGGGATTGGGGTTGAAGACAGTGGACCTGCCAGGAGTGGCTAGACCTGGGCATGGGGCTGGCTTCAGTGAGGTGCTAGGAAGATCAGGCCTGGGCATAGGCATGCCATGTGGGCTGTGGGGCTGGAGTACCCAGGTACTTGTGCATAGGCCCCCACAGCTGCCCACCACCCGGGCCCTTTCCAGCCCCAGCTGAGCTGAGCCTCCCCTGCCCTGGTGTTTGGGCCACAGTGGCCGTCTGGCCCCCAAGGGAGGCGGGGGAGGGTGAGAGGGAGCCATGGAGGAGGGGAGCAGTACTAGCCCAGCTCCAATTTCTTCGGTCAGCTGAGCACAACTTTCCATTCGAGTGTATTCATGCAGCGGCTGATTGAGCTCCACTGTGCCGAGCAGCTCGGCGGGAGGGGGCAGGCATGGCCAGGCTGACAGAGGCTACACACCACCCACTCACCCACCCACCCACACACTGAATCTATCTACATGAATAATCCCCCTCATGTTATATGCACACCTCACGCCCAGCCATGTCATATAAACACAGCAGAGCCCTTTCCCTCACACACCCACCTGCCCCCAGAGCAGTCTCCCAGCACCCATAGACCTGCTCTGCTACACAGCATAAGCCCTGCCTTTCTGATTTTCCCTTTACAGATTCTATACCAGTCCTCAGACACAAACGCAAGAATCCTTCATCCTCCTCCCCTGCAGGCACGCTCTCCAGGATGCGTGCACTCCAAACCTGCACACAAACATGCCTAATCTCACAATCACGCTCTGCTACAGAGCTACTCAGATCCACACAATTGAAATACACATCTGCATAAAACAGCATTAGTGCAAATAGACATTCAGTGCACAGCTTGTTATATGTACACTGTGTGCTGGGGCTCACCAAAAGTTCACACACAAGAAAGGGAGCAGATAAGCAATAAATGCAGTAAGAGAACACAGCCGCTAGACATTCACCAAGACAAACACATAGAGGATATGGGGAGGAAACCTTCAGACACACATACATACCTGTGAGCCAATCCAAAGACAAAAGAAATACCACTCAGAGGCACCTTGACCTCCAAACCACATAGCCTGACTCTAGGGGCTCAGGGGCCACCCATTTGCCCAACCTCACCCACTCCTAGGTTGGCAGAGGCATCTCTCTCTCTCTCTCTCTCTCTCTCTCTCTCTCACACACACACACACACACACACACACACGCACACTCACAGTGCAGACTAGGGCCTCAAAGAACACAGGCAGGGAACTAGATAAGCACCTTCAGAGAAACATGCCTACTCTTAGGAGTGAGCAGGTGAACAGAGGCCTCCATTTTAGAATCCACCCCTAAATGCCCAGGGCATGCTATTTTACAGAGCAAGAAGAAGAGAGTGAAGAAGAGAAAGAGAAATTATAGAGTGGGGAGAAAGGCAAAAGGAGAAAGAAGAGAAAGAAAGGAGGAAGGAGTTGAAACAAAAAGTGAGGCAAAGAGAGAAAGAGATAGAGAGGAGGGAATGGGGACAGGAGCCAGAAGGATTTGAAAAAAATGGGGAGCAGCTTCCCAGGCTTAGGCTGGGGGAGGGCCAAGCCTGGTTGGGGAGAAGGGGACACTGTAAGGTGAGAACAAGTCAGTCTCCAGGAAAGTGTCTAGGGGAGCACACAGGCCTGTGGCCCGCTGGACTTGGGAAATGAACCAAGTGCTGCACGTGTTCGAGGCAGCTTGGGGCCCA